CGTTGGGGTGAAACGCCGCCGCACAGCGAGTTCTTTTTGCAATCAGTTCGCTGTCGCGGTCAGACGCTTAATTCACTTGTCTTGGCTAAGAGGGATGAGCTGGCCAGCGGTACCCAACACCTAACTGCTCACCTGGGGGGCGGGGGGAGGGGGCACTTCAGGGCAGATGGAGGAGGTGTGAACCTGCGCCACACTGAAATCGGTCCCCCTCCCCCTGCAGCCCTGACTCGAGCAGTGAGAGAGCCAACCCACAAAAGCACAGGTTATAGGATGTGAGAGAGTTCACATGACCAAGTTACAGGAAGATGCAGTGTGGTGGAGACTTGCTACTTTACTCTGCTCTGAAAACGAGAAAGTTTCCACGGGTTGACCCCCCACGACAGGCTCCTGCAATCAAAAGTTGAATATATATTCTGCTTCTAAAGCAGGTAACAGTCAAATACCAGATCTTCCAGTGCATTCCAGTTTAGGATTTCTGTCCAGCTAGCTCTTTGATTGCTCCAACACGCTCACCTGTTAGAGCCATTTGCCTTTGACACACTGCTGAGAGAAGTGGCGTATACACAGGCTTTCCCTGATTGAACTGAATGAATTATTATACCAACTGAACAATCAAAGAGCTGGCTGGACATAAATCCTATACTGGAATGCACTGGAAGATCTGGTATTTGACTGTTACCTGCTTTAGAAGCAGAATATATATTTACCTTCTGATTGCAGGAGCCTGTCGTGGGGGGGTGAACCCATGGAAATCAAGAGTAAGGGTATTTGTGACTGGAAACCGAAGGCACTTCTGTTGCTGCTGGATGGGTTCCAGACTACTGGGTACTTGGAACAAACTGTCCAGCCGTTCAGAGGAATTTCTCTGGCTCCTTTGCGGAAATATAGGGTCTCATTCAGGCATCAGTTGGCTGCAAGCGAGATTAGCCCAAACGCCTCCTCTCATTTCTAGCCGTTCTGGTGTCCTTTCCGTAATGGAATCTCAATTTTTCCGATTTTCTCTTCCGGGAAAAAAAAACACAGGAGAGGAGGCAATGCTGGTCTGTTCTCTACACGTTCAAAATTGCTAAGAGGTGACCTGAGGTCTTGGTGGCCATGACTGGCGCGTAATTGGCACAGGTGTGGTCATGGGGGGCACAGCAAGGTCTTGGTGAAGATGGGTTTGGTGCAGCGGCCAGTCAGGTAGACTGGTGGCAAGTCCACGTGTAGTCGGAACGTGACCCGGCCGGGCTGCTGATGATCTGGCTCATCCACGTCGTTGTCACGCAGAGTGAAAGGCCGCCATCTTTCTGCCGATCCATTTCGGGCTCTTCCAGTGGCAGGAGGCTCCTGGGCTGGCCGACACCACACGCTGGATGTACTGATACGTGTTTCTAAGGGGGAAAGGCAGGTGTTGCTCAGGAAGGGCAACAGGTGATGAATCGTGGTTTTGGGGTGTCTGTGTCCGGTTCAGGGGAAGACTGTGCCGACATGCAGCGTTTGTGACAGCTTTCCAGACGTTTGTTTCTTACTGCCAAATATGTGTTCAGTTACTGGCTGGACTAGCAAGCCACTCTAGTAAAAAAAAAAGTTTATGTTTGTTTTTGGTGGACAGGGGAGCGGTTAGGCTGGAAGGAGGGGTTAGGGTCCTCTGATTCAGTCATAAAAACATTCTGGAGGTTTTTCGCATCAGAAAGTTTGGCCCTCGCAGCGGCGAAGCCCGGTTTTTCGTTTACTGTTCTGGGGGTTTCGAGACCAGGTCGCTCTGCAGCGGTTTGTCTCGGTCTCGACTAGTTCCCCGACCATGTTTTCAGTAGACGTGAGAGACAAAGTGCTTTCTTAATGGAAGAACAGGGGAGCGATGTGAGCTGTGGTCAAGTTCAATAGGATGTGCTCTGATTCAGACATTCACCAATTGACTGTGTCTGTCTTATTCAAAGCTGTCCTGTTAGCTTTAGTCTGGCCTTGTCTTGTTGGAAAAAATGTGCTTTATTTGTGATTTTATTGTCACCTCACGCTTTCAGACCCTTGGTTGGATTTAATCCTTGGACATGAGAGGGGAAAAAAAGAAGCCCCCCAACAGGAGACAGGCAGGGCTAGAGGAAAGATTCAGGACAGTTCGAACCGCTGCAGCAGATACAGCCTCCGGTTGCCATGCAACCCTGGGAGGGGGGAGTGATGAGTGAACAGGAAGTCAACAGTTTTAGATGCAGCAAATGATAAAAAGGAGACAGGAAGTTGTGTGTGTGTTGGAGGTGGGGGTGTGATGGCTGCAGTGAGTAAGAGACGGTCTGTCAACGAACAGGTCGAGAGTGAGGTGTCATGCTTGAGCAGAAGCACACCGAGGCCATGACAAAAATAGGGAACAGATTAAATAACCCTTACACCACACACCCCACACCAGGCTCCTTCTGAAAAACCCCGCAGAGAAGTAGAAATGTTCAGAACAATGGGAGGTAGTCAGGTAATTACCCCTCCCTTGTCATTGTCTGCCCCCCCACGCCAGCTGTCTCTAACCAAAAAGTTTCTTCAAATTAGTTTTTTTCCCCCATCCCGTCCTCTGTTATTTCGGGAACCTTCATGTCTTCCGCCGTGCACGGACGTGCGTGGGCCTCGCTCTCCGGAACGAGCAGCGTCACCGAGGCCCGGCAGGAAGCAGCTCTGACCGCGCTGCAGAAGGCCCAGCCGTGCGAGCGTGTGTGCGAGCGTGGGTGCGTGCGAGCGTGCATGCGTGTGTGCGAGCCCTAGCCTGCGTGCGTGTGTGCACACGAACGTGCATGCGTGGGTGCGCACCCTAGCCTGCGTGCGTGTGTGCGAGCTTGGGTGCGCACGAGTGTGCATGTGTGTGCGTGAGCGTGCATGCGTGTGTGCGAGCGTGGGTGTGTGTGTGTGTGATGTGATCTGCGAGGTGCAGAGAGGTTCTGAGCGACTTGACGGGCGGGGCTGAGGCCGAGGCACTCAGTTCCGCCATTGGAGCTGCAGCCAGCGCCCGGAACCTCGAGCTGGGCTTGATTTCATCCGGATCGGAGCGTGTGGAACCTGATCTGTTTAGAATCAGACCATGGAAGAGGGGGAGGGTTGTACCTCCAGCACATGCAATGAACAGGAATGGGATGGGTGCTACCTGCTGGCTGGAACCTCCTGAGCTACTCTGCTGTGTGGGAGGTGCAGCAGGTACAGGACCTCTGTCACCAGTCCAACTGACCAGCCTCTCCGTGACACAGGCCCTTTTCCCTGATCTGACTGCAGGCACATCGAGGGCCCTCCTCCAATGGCCAGCTGTCAAAGCCCAGCCCCGGTACAGCCCAGTAAAGGCAGGGCTGAGCGCAGCAGAGCAGAGAAAGATCAATTACAAACCAGACTCGAGCACAGAGTGGTGTGGGGAAGGATGATGCTATATTGGAGGAATCTCAGGGGGGGGGGGAAAGCTTTTTATTCCTCAGATGTAAATTCTAATCAAAGCCCGTGCACAGTCATAATGATGTAAAGATGAAGTGTCAAAATATGTGCTGTACAGCTTTTTAAAATCTGTTCGTTCTTGACATATCTGGCTAAAAATAGACGCAGAACTGATGCTGCAAAGTCACAGAGGCTTTGTTCACGTTCATCTGTTCTTCACGGTTTCCTCCTGACAAGCCCTTACACATGGCCGCTGGTTACTCCACCTGATATAGCGAACCACAGTGTCCTTCAGTTGGTAAAAACACACTTCAGTGTTTATATGGATGCTAAGTAGCTTTGAAATAAAGTATTTACAAATAAAGTGTCAAAATACTGAATTAAGAGGAAAGATTGAACTGTTCTGCTCAGAAGTGATGAGATTATGGCTTCAGAGTTCTAGAAACAAGTACATCAAACCATAAGGTTTACAGGACCTTAACCAAACTGTAACCCACTAATAAAATCAGAGGAGTTAAGTGAGAGCTTGAGTTGAAAAGGAAACAGGAAGACATTCTGCCTCTCCAGGAAATGAGCTTGACCATCCTATTCTGCTGGCACATTGATTGTACAGCAATGGAAATCTGATCAATCAGCAGTCTGATCCACTCCAGGGTTCACGGTGCAGTTAAACTCCCATTGCACAGCAGTCTGATCCTCTCCAGATTTTACAATGCTTTCAGTAAAACTCCCAATTGCACAACATTCTGATTTGTTCCAGGGTTTACAGTGCTGATTATCCGATTCCAATTGCACAGCATTCAGTCTACTCCAGGGTTAACAATGCAGTCAGTCAGACTTTGTACAGCAGTCGTATTCACTCCAGGGTTTACCCCACTGTTAAACTCCCATTGTAAAGCAGTCTGATCTTCTCCAGGGTTTATAATGCTGTCAAACTCAAAATGCACATAAGCCTGTCACCCTTGTTTACTGTCCTGTCAGTAAAACGTCCTTTACAGAGCAGTCTAATCCTCTCCAGGTTTTACAGTGCTGTCAGTCAAACTCCCATTGCACATCAGTCTGATCCATTCCAGGTTTTGCAATGCTGATAATCAGATTTCCATTGCACAGTAGTCTGATTTTCTCCCTTCATTACAATTCTGTATGTAAAAACATCCAATAGCACTCAAGGTTTATGAACCCTAGAGATCTTGCATTGATGGCTGCCATCTTGAATCCCCATATATACTGTAGCTGTGTGGCTGTGGGTTATCTCAGGGTGTTTGGAGAATAGCGTGAAGTATGCTCTGTAACAAATAGCTGGCAAGATGCAGAATTGTGCATCGACCCTTCTGAGATATTTTATTACATTGAATAGCTTCCATATAGCATCCCACATCCTTCATTCCTGTTTTCATTCCCTCTTCCTCATTTACGGTTACTGTTACAGTTGCGGCTGATACAGTCGGACCTGCTGTTCGATTTTGAATTGGAACTAGTTTTGGTTAATGAACAAAATTGTGAACCTTTAAACGACAAATTTTTTTCCCCCGATTTGCGTGTCTTGGCAGTTCAACTTGGTTTAAGTAACTGACACGCAACACTAATCCTCGTGCATTAACACTTTTTTTTCTTGCTGTCAGGGCTGCGATCGAAGGTGTGGAGAGCGATGTCAGCGAATTAGAGACCAAGCTTGACAAGGTGAGAGCGATTGGTCTGTGAGCACCGTTCCCTGCCCTGCTCAGTGCTCCTTGTCTTTTATGCGGTGTTTTTTTTTTCACACGTCTCTTAGATTTCGCCACCGAAATCTAAGTAGCCGAGCAGATCTGCACAGTTCATTCCACAGATGTTATTCTGCATCGCTGTGAAAGACTGAAGCCTGTGACCGTAATCTCGGCACCCTGCAATTTTTACAAGCTTTGCTGCTGATTTAATGAATGAAATAAAGGGTCTGATGACTTGTGCCTCTTTTTCGTCATCCTCCTCTGGTTTTATTAAACGGTTGTTCATGAATAAATCCGACACATTAAGGTGACACTCTCCTAAAAAGAGATTTGTCTGTGTCAGAGAGGGGGGAACTTGAATTAAGGAAGTAGGGAGGCTTCAAAAGGCTCACCTCACATGTTGGCACACACTGAAGCTTTTAAGCACATAAAAAGCAGAACTTAGCCTTAACTGACATCCTACAGTAAATCTGTACAGTATCCTATTTTGTTTTGTCACAAAGCAGCCGTGTCTGGGGGAACCCTTTACGTTTTACATTGAGAAGCTGCACCTGTTCTTCTCCTGGTCTCACCATCCTTGCGTTGTGCGTCGGCTGGGCTTTGCCAGTCTTTCCCCCTGTGATTTGCATCAGAGAGGTCAGCGGCCGGACGGCTAACCTGCCCATGCTGCCTGTTTGCTAGCCAGCAGCTCAGCGGTTCATGACGAAGCACCCCTCGGTGTCATTCGTGTGCTGGTTTTTTTTCCCCCTTTTCTCTGTCCTCGAACGCCCCTGACCGCCAGCGGACTGGGTCAGCGCCCAGTTTAACACGTGCCTCAGAACGCACAGCTGAAACAAAGCGATACCAGATCCCCCCCTCCCCACTCGCTTCCCGGGTGACCGTGAAGGCCTGCCGTTTCTCTCGCCTCCCCAGTGAGTGGGCCGCGCAGATGGTCCGCCTGTGCCTGGGCTCCTAAATGACCGCCGCTCTGGCCTCTCCTCTCCCTGTGCTCCCCCCCAGCTGGTGAAGCAGTGCCACAGCATGCTCGAGGCGGGCAAGACGTACTGCAGCAACAGCCGGCAGTTCGTGACGGGCATCCGGGAGCTCGGGCAGTACTCCTGCGGCGACAGCGGGATGAGGGTGAGTGGAGGCGTCCCTGGCCCGCGCGTGGCGCTGGCGTCTCTCTGGACAGCAGGGGCGGTCGGATGCCAGAGCGTGCAACGTGTTCCTCAGGGGGAATGTGGCGCAGGCAGCTGCTACAGCAGAGTGATTTGATTGACGTAGCCGATGCCAGCTGGTCATTAACAGTCTCACGGCGGCATTATCTACAGGTAGACGTGGGATTGCTAATGCATCCCACCCCCTTGTCCCGACACGTGCGTCGGGAGTCTGCGATTCAGAACAAAGCGACACAACCTCTGTGAAGCGGCCCGATTATATTGTAAACAAGCAGGCTTGTGAACCCGCCTCTTTTTAACCCAATAGAAATATTGCTCTCGATTTCAAGACAGTTTTTCTGACAAACATTACTGTTTGTCGGAAACTGTACTGTTTGTTACTGTTTGACAAACATTACTGACTTGTTAACTCTGCATGCAGATCACGCTGGAACATTTTCCCCGGGGAAATGTCTGTAGCACCACCCCTGTATTTAGTTGCATGTACATCGCATTACATTAGTCGTCACAGTGACTAGTGAGCAGGAAGGGCCGTTTCACGTCGCAATTCTTGGGAATGCGAATGCGAGTTTGCAGCAGCATTGCGACTTACAGTACTTTCGCAAAGCTCACAATTTTGCGTTGAATTCGAAAGCTGCAATTTATTTCCAGAATGTCAGTGAATTTCTTTTGTGACTTGAGATGTAATAAGCGCTCTGAAAACTAGGGACTGCAGTTCCCCTTTTAAGCCTTATGGCCTGATTCAGGCCTGGGCCATGGTGTTACCCGCCTGTGATCGGGATACCCTCTCTGGAGGTAGGGTGCCACCGAGGAAAGGTGGGTGCCAGCGGGCAAGGGCCCCTTCTGCTCCCTCCTGCGACGGCTGGGTGCCTGCAGGGTGGCAGGCACGGTCAAGGTGCGGTGTTGCTCCAAAGTCCCACGAGGTGTCGTGGACCTCCCAGCGCGACCAGCCCTGAGAGCCCCAGTCGGACTGGGCACGATTGGGGACCCCACTCGCACTCCCCTCCCCCCCCCCTTGCCCCCTCCAGCCGGACAGCTGTCACAGCTGGTGATCCCACCCTGGGGCGGGCATAGAGTGAGGAAAAACACTTCCCTGAAAGCTCTTTTTTTTTTAAAAAGGGGAAAATAAAATTGCCCGGCTTCTGGCGTGCGCGCGGTCCCACACTCCGGGGGCCGGGGCGCGCTGAGGCCAAGTACCAAGTGCTAACGAGCTCCCTCTCCGTCCCGCAGGACTGCCTGGAGAAGTTCTCCGCCAAGCTGTCCCTGATGATCGACGCCCACGGGGTGAGTTCGCTCCCGCTCCTCGACTGGGCCCAGCGCCCCCCTTTTCCAACGCAGCAGCTCGCGAGGAACGGGTCGCCTCCCGTTACAGCCGAGCCGATCCAGGTCTAATTTCGGCAGGGGCAGGCCAGCGGTCTGAGGCGTGGCTTCTCCCACCCGGGCGGTGTCAGACTCTCAGGTCCAAGACAGATCGGAGCGTGCTAAATTTACTCCTCTTACTGTCCACCCCGGTCTTTCCTCAAGAGCGAAAATCCCCACACTGCAATTAGAAACCTACAAACGTCTACAGACAGGAACTGAGGTGACAGCAGCTCCAGCCACTGTGCTCATTTTTACACACATTTTCAGCCTTTTAACACCGAGCAAACGACAGCACCGCTTGTAAACCGTCTACGTTTCCCTACAAGTCACCACCTCCACAGCCTAGCCGAAACTTCCCCCATCAATGATATGTGCTGTGGTGCTAAAAAAAACAAAACAGTTTTAAAGTAAATTCCTGCATGATAAATTTACAGAGCCTACAAAATTGCTTTGTCCAAGTTTCCCCCCCAGTACGCCTACCCTGGTCCTGGAGACAGTCCGATGTCATCTGGACAGCTCAGCCCTAAGCCCACGCTTTCTAGAGATGTCATTTAAATGTCGGTGTTTCAGAGCTTCAGAGGCTACAGATGAGAGGAGGAGGCCGTTTGGCCTGTCATGCCCATATGGTCCTTTTCTCTGTAGACCCATTGGCAGAACACATGCGCCAATGTGGGAGACCTCTTGAAGCACCCAAAGAGAGGGAGTCGTTCAGAACCACAGGCAGTTAACCTGAGCCTGCATCATTTTGGGAAAAGGTTAGGAAAGCAGAAACATCTGGCAAACCCCCCCCCCCCCACACACAAATATTATGCCCATAGAAACAGGCTCCCCAAGCTGGATTTGAACCTGGGACCCCTGGAGCTGGGAGGCAGCAGCACTCAATTGCTGTGCCACCCTGCCGCCCCAGGTTGCTGCGGACTTCAACCGGTTAACATGGCCGGTGAAGTCGGGGCTGGTCAGACGCCGTCTCGGCTGCAGGCAGCGGGGCAGAGCGCCTGCGCCCTTCCAGCTGGTCAAGGGGTCAGCGTGTGGCTGGTCCAGGCCTGCAGTGGACAGCAGAGAGGGAGCTCCCTGTCACCGGCGCCCACTTTACTTTGCAGCGCGTGACTGTGTGCGACAGCGTTTGTGTGACGGTGAGTGCTTGTGCATGTGTGGGAGTGCGAGTGCGTGATAGTGCGCAGGCACGACTACATTTGTCAGGCCTAGATTTGAGAGAACGTCGTCTTCAAGACGGGGACTCCTGAGAAACCGGTGCTTGCAGACAGCCTTTTTTTAGAAGCTAATTGGTGTCTTCTAATTGGTGCCAGATTGTTTTTTGGAGACTGCCTTCACGTTATAGAGCAATAAACAGAAATAGAGTGAGAGCTATAGGAAGGAAGTCCTTTCTGAAAGTGAGTGTGTATCGTGTGTGTGAGGATGTGACAGTGTGTATAAGTGTGCATGTTTGATTCTGCGTCACTGTCTTTAGATTTCGAGATTATTTGGGCCTTGCTGCCTCACTTACAGGAAGAGCAGCTACAGTAGTGCTGCAGATTTATAGGTCTTCAGCCACTCTGTGGGCACAGGGGTGCTGATATTGTGGCTAAACTGTCTGTATCTTCATGCCTGGAGTTGCTTTAGAACAGTATTGTTCTTAGACACAATTTTAAATGAGTTAGAAATATGAACCTGGATTAAACATTTAATTCATTATCTTTTTAACAACAACTGCTGCTGTTGTTATTAATACCACCACTGATTTTACAGTTACTACGTTTTGCTACTTCTACTACTATGACAACTACTGCTTCTATTACTGCTTATACTAGTAGTACTGGTACTGCTACTGTTATTACTGCTGGTAATAATACTACTGGTACTGCTATTGTTATTACTGCTGGTAATAATACTACTGGTACTGCTACTGTTATTACTGCTGGTACTAATACTACTGGTACTGCTACTGTTATTACTGCTGGTACTAATATTACTGGTACTGCTACTGTTATTACTGCTGGTAATAATACTACTGGTACTGCTATTGTTATTACTGCTGGTGCTAATACTACTGGTACTGCTACTGTTATTACTGCTGGTACTAATACTACTGGTACTGCTACTGTTATTACTGCTGGTACTAATACTACTTGTACTGCTACTGTTATTACTGCTGGTGCTAATACTACTGGTACTGCTACTGTTAATACTGCTGGTACTAATACTACTGGTACTGCTACTGTTATTACTGCTGGTAATAATACTACTGGTACTGCTGTTGTTATTACTGCTGGTAATAATACTACTGGTACTGTTGCTGTTATTACTGCTGGTACTAATACTACTGGTACTGCTACTGTTAATACTGCTGGTGCTAATACTACTGGTACTGCTACTGTTATTACTGCTGGTGCTAATACTACTGGTACTGCTACTTTTAATACTGCTGGTACTAATACTACAGGTACTGCTACTGTTAATACTGCTGGTACTGCTGCTGTTCTGTTGCTGGTACTAATGCTGCTGGTACTGCTACTGTTATTGTTGCT